CTAATTCAAAGTGACTAACTGTTCAAAATAGTCAGAAGCATTTGCGAAAAGAGGCAACCAGCATGTCGGCCTTCTGCGGGGAGCATACGAGAGCTTTGACCCATTCAGGTTCCGGATGATACACAACTATTACTTGCGCGCTCAGGTTGAATACGCCATCCAAGTTTGGTAACTTCGTTAAAAAGTGAGCTAGAGGTGTTAGAAACCCACATGGCGGTGCTACAAAAACGTGAATGTTCTACGCAATCTGTCCTACCAACAGAGGCTGAAGTCATTTGAACTTTTCGGTGGGCGCTACTGAAGATTGCAAGGCGACCTCATATTAGTTTAGCAAATATTGAATGACCCTACTAATCTGTGCCGGCACTTGCTGAAATTCGGCCACGCGCGATCTGGAGGATGAGCTCTTAGTAAGCCACGTTCTAGTATGGCATGACAACAGGAAATTTGGGCCAACAGAAGTACGGTTAAGACCATTCCTTCAATTAGTACAGACCTCAGATACAGATGAGTCAGCCTCAATTGTACTTATCTCAAAGCAGCCAACTGTGCAAACAACCATTTCAAAAAAGTTCAGCAGACCGGTACTATTTGTACCGGTCACTCACAGCGAACCGAGCTCCTGATGCGTTAACAAATACAATGCTGCTACACAAACACTCAGGGGTTGTATTCTAAGCTCTCGGAGCTGCGCCATCGACATGAAACAACAAGTTGGGACCTCATAGCAGTTACTGAAACTTGGCTTCCAAACGACATATTTGATCCAGAGATTGAACTCAGTGGGATGTCAGTCATTCGAAATGATCGTCCATCTCGAGGTGGCGGTGTTGCTTTCTACTATCGAGATTATTTGAAATGTGAGGCTCTTACCGAAAATTACATTGTTATTGCCAATGTACTATTTTGCCGACTGCACCTAGCAGATCGAGATGTTGGTTCACAGAAGACGAGTGATGCTTGCCTCTTAGCAGTTATCTATAGGCCCCCGAACTCATCAGCAGACAGTTATAACATTCTACAAAACGCCCGCTGCTATACTGCTTCACAGAAGTACTTTCACTATCTTATAATGGGTGACTTTAATGTTCCTTCAATAGCAACAATATCCCCTAAAGGGACATCATTTAAATCGAAACTCCTCGATTTCATGGATGAGGCACTTTTGTATAACAATGTGCATCGACCAACCAGACACCGCCGTTCAAACAAATCATCACTCTTGGACTTAATCCTGACTAACGAAGAGTTGATGGTTGAGTCACTAGCATACGATCCTCCACTGGGCCATAGCGACCATTCAATACCAACATTTGTTTATGTGTGTTATGCCAGTAGTGTTGATAAAGAGCGATTCAATGAACTATTACGGACTATTTAAGCTGCACAACTTAGCAGCAAGCGTTGACCGGGACCCACAGACGCACAGCTCAGCGAATGACGCGTGGAATGAACTGAAAGACAAAATTAACTGGGTCATACAATCAGCACCGAAGGTTGTACCATTATGAGCATCGCGCCAGACCAAGACGTGGATCCGGAACAGAACACGTAGATGGATCAATAGAAGAGATGAAATCCGGAGGCAACATTCACTAAGCCCATGGGATATCACATGGCAGAATTACATAGTCATCAGAAACTACTACGCATCGCTCATTAGAGTCAGGAAGTACGAATGGCAGTAGAACATGGGGCTGAAATTTACAAGTAACACCAAACTACTATGAAGATTTATGAATGACAAAGGAAACTTAAGTTCGGAATACCACCACTCAAGACGGCCAGTGGCCTAACAACCACTGCTGTGGATGCTGCGAACGCTCTACTCCTGCAGTTTGGCTCGGTAGCTACAAATACCATGGAACCTTCGCCCTATCAACTCCCAGCAAATGTCGTTGGCTTATCTAGCGTCACCTTTACTCCAGCAGCTATTGCAACCAAATTGGAGTCTCTCCGGCAGTACAGTGCCCCTAGAATCGACATGATTTGCCCAAAAGTACTAAAATCCCTTTCTCCCACCATAGCAGCACCACTTGCAACCTTTTTCCAGTGTCTGCTTAACTCCCATACATTCCCACCTGAGTGGAAAAATGGAATTATCACTCCAATATACAAAGGAGGTAAGCGATCGGATCCTGCCAACTACTTACCTATTACACTCCTTCCTGTTCTATCAAAAGTGATGGAATCGGTAATCGCAGATGAACTGAAGCAATACTTTGAAAGTCAACAAATAATTTCTAATGCTCAACATGGTTTCCGACGCAGAAGATCTTGTATCACCAATTTGCTGATTACTCGGGACTTATAGACCAGGGCGGCTGATGAAGAAGACCCCATAGATGTGAATTACTTGGATGTTTCTAAAGCATTTCACAGGGTCACTCCCTTCTTTCTCCTCCAAAAGCTTGCTGCCCGCGGTATCAACGGTTCCCTGCTCACTTGGTTTGAAGACTACTTACACGACGGAGCAATCAATGCAAGAGTAACCGACACTTACTCTGCAAGCCTGTGCGTCTCAAGTGGTGTACCAAAAGGATCCGTCCTCGGCTCGCTACTGTTTTTAGTATATATTAATGAGCTTCCAGCAGACATTCTATCTCCGATGCAAATATTTGCAGGCGATGCTAAAATATGAAGAGCAATTCGCTCAGCATCCGACAGTGTCTACCTCCAGGAAGATCTGACTCGGATTAACGGATGGACAGAAAAGAAGCAGCTACCACTGAACCCTGCAAAGTGCCAACTGCTGACGGTGCACAACAGCTTCCTCAACACATAACTTTTGGGGCAACACGTCATGCAACAGGTGGCTAAAGCACGTGACTTAGGTATACTCGTGGAAGGGTCTTGGCAATTCGCTCCAATGTTCGAAAGCAGCAAGTGTGGCGAACTTGAACTTGAGACTTTTGAGGCGAACTCGCGGCACTTTTGAGCGACTGCTAGTACCATTGCTGATTGACTCCTACATTCGCTCTCACGTTGAATTTGCAATTCAGGCCTGGTGTCCATGGTTAAAAGTAGCTATTCGCCTATTGGAACAACCCCAAAGAAGAGCCACGAAGGCAACTCGTGGACTATCCTGTATAAGTTACGAAATGCCTGTTCGTGTACTCGGTGTGTTCTTATTAGAATACCGACGGCTTCGTGGAGATCTTACTTTCACATACCGGATACTAACTGAAAGCGAGCATACATGTATATCACTGTTGACTCTAGCCCCTTACAAACAAAGCCGAGGCAACCACCTGAAACTAATAACGCAACACACCAGTCTGAATTGTAGAAAGTATTTGTACTCACTTAGAATCTGTTCTCACTGGAATGTATTACCAAAATATGTGGTGAACGCAACAGACCTGATGACATTCGAAACACTCTTAGACTTTCATCTTAGTGATAAACGCTACACAACAGTTTGCCAATACTAGTACTTCACGTTCCACGTTGGAACATTTTAATTTTAATTTGCTTTTGTAAATCCATTCTATGGGTCTTGTAAAGTTATGTGTTTTATCCTATCATACACTATTGAACTATTATTTTCGATCATAACTGTTTGCGCCGGCCTAGTACATCATCCGGAGTGCATGAGTTGCTCACACGAGTTGCTCACACTCTATATGCTGGAGTACTTTCTCCCCAATTATGGGTTGGATAATATGATATATGAAACATAACTTTATAACTGTTGATCTACCCCTACGCGAGAACAGTCTCTCGCACTGTCAATAAGTAAAACATTGAATTATTTTATTAATTCCCACGTTGGTTGTGATCATCGCTTGAGTGATAACATGGATTCTGTGTGCTTCCCATTAATGGATTCGTAATTTGGATTCCTCTTGAACGTGCGCCCAGAATCGCTTGCGAGTCTTATCTTATTAAGATAGGAAATAAATCTCATTGGGTTGTACAAACTTTTTTGACATACTCCTGACGTAACCCGCTAAATGAGAATCGAAGTAAAGTGGGATAGTAGGAGAACAGCTATTAGACATTCATTTATTTTGACCGAGCTTGATAGTTATTCTTTACTCTTCCTATTTTCTATTTCTTGACTGTTGTTTAAACGCTCTACTGGGTTCGCCCGATTGGTACATCCGCGTCATTGTTAATGGACGCTCCTCGTCATGCCTTTCTCAGCAGCGCTGTTTGCAAGAATATATTCCATTGGTATTTTTCTTCTCATCACTGTTCTACTTGGTTATGTTAAAGGAATATTTAGTGTCACGCAATTATTGTACTAGTTTTCAACTTTTGGGTCTGCATTCCTTATTCGCGTTTGTTTCGTGACTTTTGTTTAAACGTTTCATCTCGTCATTCTGATTGGCCAGTGCCCGTCACTGTAAATGGTCGTTCGCTTTACGCTTGGAGTCCAATGATGCTATTTTTAAGGACCTACGCGATTCGCTCTTACGTACACGGTTGCTTATTCGCCGTTGCATTTTACGTTTTTCCTTCAGTTGGTTGGCTCAAGTGTACTTTACTAGCTTCCCTTCATTTTGCCTTCAAACTATATAAGCAACTGTGATTTCATGTATACAAGTCTCCTTCTGGCTCGTCTTGGACTTCTTCTTACGGTCGTGGGGTGAAGGCGTCAGCGGCGACACAGCATAGGATTTAAACACTTTCCATGAGCTAGTAACCGACTTCAGATGTTTTCCTGACGTGATCTGAAAAGGCCTAGTAGTAACATCAATACCGAACTTAATCTGCAGACAACTGGTGTGAATTTTTTGAATAAACAGCCTTAGTTGCCGTTGTTCTGATCGCTATCCAGATTAGCTAAATTGGTACTGTAGTCCCATAATGCAATCAAAGTTTGAGTTAATACATGAACACAAGGATTGTTCTAGTTATGTGATTTACGTCATTTTGCATAATCAAAAACGTTCTGAAATAAAAGCAGGCGGAGACTAACAGAAAGTAAGCCGTCTGAATGGTGCGACCCGATTTCGCACATACAATAGATACTATTGGTCATTATTACTTACCTCTGTGAGGGTTGTTGTATCAGATTTCCGCTTTACCATTTTGCTCATTAGGTTTTGCAACGAGTCTATGTTCTCTATCACTGAGCTTGCTTCTATCCAACCCAAGCTTCGTTCAACAGCTGCGTGCCATCCTGTAAGCATCACTTGCCTGCAGTGATCCGATATACTTGAGGCAAAGGTGTGAACTGGCTGTTGAGCTGAGTAGGGATAATTGCGCAGTTTTAACAGACCAGACGGTTCAATGCCAACTGCCAAAGCAGCGGCAACCGCAGCACCCAAGGCAGTCATCAGTTCTGAGTGATTGTGCTTCCGTACGATCATATCTGCAACGGAATTAACACATAATTGGTGGGCGACTCACTGGAGGAACAGAATGCTATGGAACAGTATTGCAGGTATTGTATTCAGAGGAAATGCCAAGACACGGACCTACTCCAATCTATAACTAAGGTTTAGGAATTTTTGGCGATTGGTTTTGATGAGCTTTTCTGGTACTATTAAGGTTTTTGATTGAATTTGGTGCAATTTTAGTAAAATTGTCAATATTTTTGGGTGTCAAATACTCGTGAAAATGTATAAAAAATTTCTTTTTTACGTAAGCTGATTGGCTTTTAAATAGTGATTACTTTTGGGTACTATTTTTGATCTTGTGTGTGCGTCGAGTCGATATGCTTAGACGTTGGATATTCAGGGATTTTTATCCCCTGGTTTTTCTATTTCTTTCCCTTTTTGTGGAGTATCAACGTTATTGGTGTAAGGATTAAGTTACTGTGTGTGGTATACCTTGTGTGGTGATAAGTTTTGGTGGTATAAATTTGGAAAGGATGTATGTAATGTTACCATTCTCTACGGAAGTCTATAATGTAGTGTGAAAGTTTCCGTTGGTTGGTGGTACAAAACCTATTACTTGGCATGGGTAGAGAGATATGTTTATTGATTTAGTGTTTAGATTGGCATAATGGTCTTTTGTACTGCTTAGAACTTTTGGTCTGTCAGTGGATTTTGGGTGCATGCGATTGCGGTTATTTACCTGTTATGTTTAGTTTGTATTGCATGAGTTGGCTCAGATTTAGGGTTATTGTGCTTTCAGTGGGGTTAGGAAGGAAGATAAGAGAAAAAGAGCCATGAGTAATATGTTAGAGGTCTGGGAAAGAAAGAAAGGGATAATATGCGAATTTTAAAGTATATGTTAAAGACTCTAGCATGCATACAGCAGCGAAAGCAGTCAGCACAGCTGAAGATCAAGCTTGCCGAATGAGCGCACATCAATGTAGCATCCGATGAGTAAGTATTTATCCAGCGGCCACTGTTCCAACTTAGGGTAATAGGTAAGGGCTGCATGACGTGTAGCTTCCAAGTTACACACTTTCCGGGTCCACAAGTTGCTTTCCTGACAGCAGATAGTTAGCGGCTGATAAAGCCGTTTCTCTTGATGACACTTCATCACTGCTCCTGGTGATGGATATGGTAATTATTGAGCCGTTTTAGGCAAACATCTGCTCACGAGCCGCGGTTCCTAACAGCAGTTCTCCCTCCACATAGTAAACTTTTCACCATTTGATAAAACGCGTTTAGCTTAAAGGACTTGTGCCAGTTGAGCTAAAAGATGACATTGTACGACCATTGTGCAAGTGCCAATTAAGCATGCAATATGTAAGCAGTTCTCGTGGCATCAGCTTACTTTTGCATCTAGAAGGTGGCTGCTCGAGTACTGCTCGACCGTACCGGCACTCGGGGCCTTGGGCCAAATGTGGCTCAGTAGCAGTGCGGATTCCGTGGAGACCTCGAGGCCAACAATTGCAGAAGTGTCGTGAGGAAGAGAGACTATTGTACTCAATTCCATTAATTCCACCGAGGCAACTGACACGTTGAAACAGGGGACTGTGACTGGTTTTGGGTAAGTCTGGTCTCCAGTGTAAGTTGGCTAGGTTTATTGATATTTACACAGTGCTTTGCTGGCGAGGGTGCAGATATTTGATTCAACCACATATGACTTTGGGGTTGTCTCCGGTGTGAAGCAAGGCTGCTACCTAGTCCCTATCCTTTTAACCTTTATAAAACTCATGCTGTTTACTGCATTCAACGATAGCGGCAATGGTGTCCTTCTCCAGCACCGTATCGGTGGTGTGTTACTGAACATACATCATTTTTGTACGAGAACCGGAGTACGTGAGATAACCATCGGATATCGGTGTTTGCCGATGACTTCGCGTTGTTTGCACACCGCAAGGACGAGTTATAACGTATGACGATCGCCAAGTTCAAACTAAACAGCAACGGCTGTCACAAAGGGTATAGTTTGGGAGCTGCCCGCAAACCATGATTGCGAACTCATAAAACTTTTCTACCTAAGTCCTTCGCTGTTAACAGCTCTGCAGCAGAACAGTGAGCTGAGCACCCACGTATAGAAACATGTGCGGATTTCGGCAACCGGGAACAACACGTAAGGAGGAACTGCCAGCAGCTCACTGGAAACAATCTGCCTGCGCACATATCGGTGGGGCTGTCTGTTTTCCTCTACAACAGCAAAATAAGGATTTTCTACAGTAACGACATTTCTTATTTAGAACGACTTCATAAGTCGTGCTTGCCTCGGGTTCTGCGCATCCGATGGGAGGATAGAGCTCTTAGCACGGGACTGTTGCACCGTACCAACATGTGCGAAGGAGATTAGATGTTGCTGCCACGATATCTAAAAGTTTTTAGATAAGTTCGCCGTATGGATTCAACAAGAATAGAGAACAAGCTGTTAAATGACCCTAGGTACCGCCAGGTTGTGGATGTGCAAACCGAAATTACGGTATCGGGACTTGATCAGCGCCAGCCTATCATGAACTAATGTCGAATTCAGTTGTTGAGAAGCAATGGTAGCGGACCGCCGCCAATTGTGTGATCAGATGAAAATGTAGTTGTCGAGGTTCACGAAAAAGACTTACTGGCTAGGGAGATAAACGCCGGTTACGCAAGCGTCAGATGGATGGAGCTTGGTCCGCTGACAGCGTGCACCTCGTGCTATGGTACATGCGGTCGTGTGTGACTCCATCGACGCGGTTTGGCCAGTCATCAAAGTGGACGCGAGGCGTTGACATCGAAGGAGCGACGAGTTAATTCACTGGGTAAGCCTTAATGTATGGCAAGTGCGCGATTCCACCTACTACACCGAACCAACAGTACGATATAAGTAGCATGTGCGCTGTATCAAAGCTGCTTTCGGACTTCACTTGTAATCATTAGTTTATTTTGTCGCATTAGTGTTGGTTGCTTGATATCTCCATTCTGGCTAGACAAGATACGAAGCTTGACAAGGAGCCTACCTTCAGAAAATCTCCAGCTCAATTACTGGTTCAAGGAAAGTGCTAATCGTTGATGGGGGAGGCGCGGTGCGCGTTCTTCACGTTAGTGCTGAGCACAGGGGGAGGGTCCATCCACTGTGGCAAGGGCTACGTCCCAAACACCATCCTATGTAAGTCTGGTATACATGTTTCCCTCCATTTTCATGAATGGTGTACATGTTTCAAGAGCGTTGGCCGGCTCTGTATCAATTGTGACTTCCATCTGCATGCCTCCCGGTCCTATTTCTTTGAATTTACACTGGATTTCCAATGAGTGGATGGCATAGCGCAAATCCCTAATCGCCCCTTTGTTGGTGCGGATATCGTGACATTACTGGAAATTGTAATGATAAAATTCGGATACGGATACAACCAATCATAAATGGACACGATCGGACAAAAGTGACTATGCTTGCAAGCCTTTTGAATAAGTTGACCAAAAATGAACCGTGATAAACTCCAAATAACTCTGCATTGAATACTGGCAACATCTTTTCAGTTGTGTCAACCCATAACACAGTGTATGTTGAATAATTCTTTGACAGCACATCGACTCGACGTTCGTTATATCTTCCTACTGTTATTTCTTTATGCTAAATTAGTGAAACGCTGATTAGGATTATGAGTAAAGAAGCTGATTGGTGAATTAACTCAAAATGCCGTTTCGTTGAGGCGGTATTTTACTAGGCCACGAAGTAACACCCACGGTAACGGAAGTGCTACTTCGCCAATTCCCACTTATTACAATATTTGGTCTAGCTGTACTCGCCCTGCATTTAGACTAAGATGAGCAAACACAATTTGAACGACGAATTAATTAGAAGTGCGTGTCGGCAATCCTGAGCATTAGGACCGAATCCCAGGTGGATACTATTTTCGGGTCAGTGTTTGAAGTGAACAGCACCGAAAACCTTTCAAGCCTGTTGCATTACTTGCGGCGACCGCTGCGGCCGGATTTGACTGCGTGGCTTCATTTGCTGCATCACCTGATATGACAACTGCGGTCTCAAATCTCCTCGATTTCTTGTATAATGAACATTGCTAGTGAGCCCCATTAAAAAGAACTGAATATTTAGCGCTTTGGCGCACGTGTGATCGCTTTGCGACCAGACTTCTCTGTGCTGCGGGGCTTATAATTGGTTAAGAGGCTACAGAGGGAGCTGAAAACGATGTGGTTCTTCATACATGTGATCTAAAGCTTTAAGAACGATACAACAAATGAGAAGGATGCAATGCAGCACCGTTTCCTGTCAGCGAAGCAACTGTAAAAGCATGATAAAATGTCTCCTTGAGCAAATTTAGCATTATTTTAAACTTCCTCACTGTCAACTGTTACACTGAGGCAGTAACTGCGCGCAGGTTTGAAGTTGATGCTTTTTGTCTTTAGAGAAATGAAATTAGGAAAAGGTATTAATGCAGGCTCAAAAATAATAAATCCTAGGAAGTGACCAACCAACCTACTACGCTCACAAACTGTCTCCTGGAACAAAAGACAACACTACCGTAACCACACCAAGCTTTTCGCCTTTTTACTTTGATTGATAACACTGAGTGCTGAGTAAATGTACAGTTAATAAAATGTTGCCGTGGGATGTACAGCAAGCCGCACATGTAGTATTTCCGTCCCTGCGCAGCCTCGGAGTATGTGTTGTGTCCCGGAAGTCGTAAACCACTTTTTATATAGCTCTCAAAGTCCTTACTCATCTCTTGATCTATCTTTCCGATGCAACTCCACCCACAGTTAATAGACACTGTTGTATAAATAGTATGCTAGCATAGTTCAGATGAATTAACTGAGTTGACAGAAGAGGCTGGTGGTTTTTAAGAAATCGTGGAATTTGGCAGTAGCCATTCGGTAGATTTCACCGCAACTGCTATTCAATATTTAACTTAGAATGACAACGATGGATAAAATAAAATTCAGCCCACTGAGATTGTTGCGTCCATCATTCCCCATTTGTAGCTACTGCTGTGTAGTTCTTTCCAGGTGC